GGGATCGCCAGGGCCGGCGTGCCGCACTAACTCCGGATGAATATTGACTTTTTAATGACAAGTGCTCTAGTACAAATACCAACCGATGCGATGCGGGCCCGGGCAGGCAGCTGAAGGGGGCCGGCACGCCTGTTATTCAGCAAATGAATTATTTGATTCTCGTTCCCTGCAGCATGCTGTCTGCTAGGAAATTTTCATTCGGCCTCTCTAACTCGAGAACCAATTGTAAATGTCAGCGCTAAATGCTCAGATTTAAGTGTTAGGTTGTCTTGTTCGATTACGGCACTAAAAGGTCAGAGCCGACTAATGGAAAGTACAAGCGGTATCAGGAGGGAAACAGTGTTCTGCCGTGGGTGAGCAAACACCTGGGGACAACCTAATCACTCTTCCCACAGCATCTCTCTCCTCTCCAGCTCCTTCATTCGGGGCTGTTTTCCAGGTCTCATGACCTGGAAAAGCCATTTCTGGGGAAAATTCCTGCTTGCGACATTGCTGCCGGGGATGCTGACAGCGCCGGGTTTCCCCATGGAGGAAACGGAGAGCTCACCTTGCTGTGTCCCGGATGGATTTGTTCCCAAAGGGAAAGGGATGGCAGGAGAGCCAGGCTGCTGCCAGCCCCACTGCCATCACCCACTTCTCTCCATGCACGGCTCAGGTCGGCAGCGAAGCATTTTGGGTGCCAATGTCTCCACACCTCCATTTCCACCCCCACTTTGGCCAGCCTCTGGCAACCCGCACCCCAGGAGCTCCACAGAGAGCAAAATCAGGCTTTTTTTTCCTCCTCCTTTCCCATTTGCCATCCATTTCCCCAACACTCATAGCATCTTTAAAATCCCCTTTCCCTGAGCTCTTTCAGTCGCGGTGGCCAAATAAAACTACAGTTGCCTCGAAGTGACTCAGCTGAGGAAATCTGCTTTTTATCTGTGCCCATTACCATCATTCCAGTTCTATAAGCCCAGTTCATTATATTTCTTTTAAAGCCACTTTGAAAAATATTAGTCCTTCTGCGATAAAAGTGCCTGAAAGAATAAAACCCCAATGAGCTATTATCCCTCCTCGGGGAACAGCGTGGTGTGATCCCAAGCAGGAGCGCTCATCGCTCCATACAGATGCCGTCCTGCACCAGGAACCCGTCCCTGCTGCCAACCCTGAAACCTTCCCTGGGCAGAGAAATTCAGTGACAATTCCAGGTGTCTGAATGCTTCTGGACATTTACATCAATGAGAATTGGGGATTTTAGGAAAACTAGGAGTTTTAGGAAATAATCACAATGTTTTTTCCCCAAGACTTCGGCGTCTCTGATAAGCCTTGATCCTTCACCACCAGCCTGGAAAATAGCCACTGTCCCCAGGATGCTCATGCCACCTCTCCGGGCATCTTCCCGGGAACCTCAGATGCTGCTGGACTTAGGGAGAGATCTCCAGCTGCCACGGGGCCCTCTTGGGGAGGCAGTTTCTATCCTCTGTTTCTGGGTGGTTTATGTTACAAAGTCCCACATCACTCTGAGAAATAAGAGGCGGTTGTCGTATTCACAGGCCCCTTTGCAAGCGCATCACTGGGGAAAGGCTCCCATTAAGCAGAGGATGGTGCCAGAAGGGTGAAGCGGCTGAGAAATCACCATGAAATATAGG